AATCTAAAACTGAACGAAATGAAAAATATTTTGTTTCTAACGTCACAAATGTTTGTGTTGCAGCCATGGCCGGGCTCATCGTGCCCCCCATGTGATGACCCACAATCACCCGGACCGGACCTGACCCGACCCGACCGGCCCGTCTGGACCAGAACCTCCTCGTCTCCTCCACCTTCCACCGCAGGTCCGGTCGGGGTCWCCTCGGACCGGACCTCGTCTTCGTCTCTGCAGCTTTTTACAGAACAGAACCGGTGCCGGACCGGTCCAAACCCCCCGTGAGACGGGAAGGAGGCGGGTCCACCGGGAGCTTCGGTCCAAAGACGCCACGTCTCTAAAATCAGTTTTAAAAACTGCAAACGGAGTTTTCAAACGTCTCGTTTTATTTATAAAAATAAAAACTTTAAACRTTGGAACTTTTTTTCAGCTTCAAACATTTGATTCTTTTCTTTTAACGTTTGTTTTGTTTCGGTTCTGGACCCCCGGTCCAAGAAACCAGGAGGACTGAAACCTGGACCCGTCAGACGGGCTCCAGACTCGGATCAGAACCGGCCCTCGGTGGACCTTTAACCACGTTTGTCTCGTCCTAAAAAAGGAGGGAAGTTTCTGACCCGTAAATGTTTTCTGTATAAAGTCAGTTTTCTCTGTTTCTTTTGGCTCCAGAACCGCGGTTCTGGTTCTGGTTCTGGTTCTGAACCAGTTTTAATGGGATGAAGGTTTCTGATCGTGCTGGTTTTGTATTTATGAAGTGGTTTCAGGAGTTCCTCCTGAGCTTCGGGCCTGAACCACAGTGTCAGATATATCCGTAACATTTGATGTCTTAATACGTTTTATTGTAAAAAGAGTGAAAACTGAGAATTAACTGTTTTTTATTTGTAAAAACTCACAGAATGAAGGCAGGACGTGAAACAACTTTCATCACTTTTGTATAAAACTGCTTTTCTGATATTTAACTTTTTGTAAACCTTGTGTTTCTCCTGGTTCTTGTCTTTTGTGTATTATTGTGAAACGTATAATCATTACTGCACTACTTCTGTTGGATCACTTCAAGAAGAGAGAAGCTTTTATTTTGAAATCCTGCTTGTGTGAAACTTTAACCATCCTCCGGCTGAACTTTTGTTTTTATCGTCTGAATATAAAAAACGTTTGTGTTTTTCGTTTTAAACACTTGAATTGTTTTCTGTCAAACTGAATCTGATTAATGGACCGGCTCCTCTGACCAGCCTGAGGCTCGTCTGTGATGTCACACTGCACCAACCAATCAGATGACAGATCAGCTTCTGTAAAAATCGTTTTTTTTAGATCATCTGAACATGGATGTGATGGTCAAAACCGTCACACCTGATTGGTCACACGCATCATGACATCACCGTTAGAATAATGGAGGGAATCAAACACACCTGTCAGGTGAGCCGGGACACCTGAGACACAAAATTCTAATCACAATCAGCTGGTAACCAGGCCCCGCCCACATTTCTGCCACTTCCTGTTCTTTAGGTCCAGTTTGCCCGAGGTAAACAATAATAAATAAATCTAAACTTTCTGTGATTAAAGACAAAATATTCAGGTTTTCCCTTTAAATCCTCTGAGGTTTGGGATTTCAGACGTGTTTCCAGGCAGGAAATTTGACGTTTTAAGAGTTCGGAGCAGAAAAACAAATGTCAGGACGAGTTTGAGCTCCAGATGTTTGACAGAAGCATCACACTGTAGAAAAACATGGTTCAGTTCAATAAACTGTTTTATTTTATTATTGTTAAAAGTTTCTCAGCCTCAGAAAAAAAAAATGAACGTTTTGGAGGTTTGATTTCAGCAGGAAGGAGCAGAGCAGCATCTTTGTGAAATATGAACTATATCAAAGTATATCAAAGCACAATGTTTAATTAACGTCTTAATAAAGTGAACGGGGGGAGGGGGGGGACACCCCTGCAGGTCTTCAGTTTGTGTCTCTGACCATGCTGTAAATAGATGCATGTCTTTTGGTTTTCAGTTGGTTTTTCCTGTGATTCAGTGCTTTTGTACAGAAACAGTCTAAWAATAAAGATTACATTTGGCTCGAAGCTGTCGGCCGTTTGTTTCAGAGATGCTCTGATTTCATTCTGTTTTTATTTAGTAACTGTTTAAAATGAGAGGATTTCACCCTTTTATTGGTTTAAACGAGAGCAACAGAAACAGCTGTTTCATAAATTATTATTATTTTAATGGGTTAAAAAGTAGAAACTGCAGTCATGAGATCAACATCATCAGATTATGTTGGGATTAAATCTATAAATTAAAAACAAATCCTGATTTATTCTGAGATTAACTCCAGCAGAGATCAGTTTTACCATTTTATCCTTGCTCAAAGGCAAAGGCAGGCTACGGAGCCCGTGAGGGGACACAGGGAGGATTTTTTTTTCTTTTGCGTTCCCACGCAAAAGTTTGATTTGTATATGAACTGCATGAAATCAGACTTTTATTTTGAAA